CGCTTCGTTGGCTCGATTTTTCATCTCTTTCTGGTTTTTGCCAAGAGCCTCTCTTTCGCACATATGTACTACTCAGGTTCGCCTGGTCTCCATGTCCCGCATCCTGTTCAGGTCTCCATGTCCTTGTGTCTCCATGTCCTTATGTCTCCATGTCTCCATGACTCTAGGCTTGTTTGCGCTTAGTTTGATTGAACGCTCCTAAGTATGTGCCTTCTTTCTCTCTCTCTCTCTCTCTCTCTCCCTCTCACTCTCACTCTCACCCTCTCTTTCTTTTTTTCCCTGTGTGTGTGCGTTCCATCAAATCAAAGGATCAGACATGAAGTCTGGGTCCAAAATCCTTAGTCAATGGCCAGCAAAACCACACACACACACACACACACACACACACACACCGAGAGTTTGCCTAATTTTTACACACTTTAACTTTTTGTTATCCTTTTGGAAACTTTCTTTTAAAATAATTGTTAACTAAGCTTTCTTACTTGCCCAGAATTTAGGGCAAAAGGATAAGGTATCCTCGGATATATCCTTTCCTTCTTTTGCCCCAAGCCTCTATTATCCATTATTTAGGGCTGTTAAGCGATTTCCGTGCTGAAATTGAATGTCTTCTCATAGTCGGCACATGTGTGTGCGTGTTAGTGCGTGTCCATGCATGCGAGGTCCTGGCATATTTCTATTTTTAAGCCAAAATGCAAAAGTGCAAAGCAAAAACGTAGCGGCGGAGTCAGAGTCGTCAGAGGCAACAAAGAGGGACGAAAAGTACCCACGAGCAACGAGCAAATAAAACGTTGCTAGCCACACGCCATTTTCATGTTGCATCCTGCCATTACACACACACACACACACACACACATAGAGAAGGGATATGGGGGGGGGGTCTGAGGGGTGGCTAGGTCCTGGCAAAACTGCTCGTTTATTCAACAACATAAACATTGTTGTGCACATAAATTTATACAAAGTTCTAGTTTGCATACCGGGTCTACAAGGGAGGAGGGGGAGGCGGTGGACTCTGGTTAGGTTGGTGGGGTTCCCCCCCAAAAAAGGGGACAGGGGCTCTCTCTGCATGCTGGCACAGTTAAGGGGTCGAATCGATATTCATATCAACCGCAAAATGTGTGTCGCTGTCGGTTGTAGCAGCATTTTTATTTCCTCTTCTAGCTTGCTCTTTCTCTCTCTCTCTCTTTCTCATTTTCTCCCCGTCTCTTTCTCTCTCTCTCTCTCTGAAAAAAACCGGGTGAAGGCCTAAAAGTAGGCTGCACAATTTGATGCAGGACCTGGTCCAGAGGCAATTTCAACCTGATTCTATTTACCTTGCAACGCCATTTTGGCCATTTTGTAATAAACTTGACTTTTAACAAAGCATTCAAAAATTTCTAACGGGTTAAACACACACACACACGCAATTACAGCTATTAAAATAAATACAAAATAATAGAGACACAGAAACGGTTTCATTAGCAAAACACATTTTCTAATTGTCATAAGAAAATGTGAGAAATTTCATTAAAAAAATCTATTAAAAATTATTTATTAATTATTTTTACTTATATTTATTATATTTATATTTAAAAAAAAAGTTTTTTTTTTTCGTTTTAATATTGTTTCATTAATTTATTTCGTTAATATAAAAATAAAATAATCATTTAAAGTTTTTTTTTTTTAATTTATTTATTTTAAATTAATTTCAAAGTATTAAATTATATTATATTTTTATTTATTTTCTTAATATTATTTTTTAAACTTAATTATATCATTTTATAATACCATTTTTTTAATTATATGCTTTTAGTTATTTTTTTGTATATTATTTTTTTAATTTAATTTTTTTTTTAAATAATATATATTTTTTTTAAATGATATAATTTTTTTATAATTTTATTTTATTTTATTAAATTATTTAATATTATTTTATTTATTTTTATTTTTCATTTTATTTTATTTATGTATTTAATTTAATTGTAATTTAGACTCAATTAATATTATTATGAATATTATTTTTTTTTTTATTTATTTATATATATTTTTAATTATTCCTTGACTTTCCTGTGGCTGTAAATAAATAAAATCCAGGACGCCATTCAACAGTTGGTGGCGGTTGTCTTACTTTGCTTCGATTCTCTTTGGCTTTGGGGTTTTCTTTTTTTTTTTTTTTTTTTTTGGGACCTTTGGGGTTTGTTTTTTTTTTTTTTTGTTTATTTGTGGGTGGGAAGTTTTTAGAGCGGGTCGATGGGAGGTGGGAGTTTTGGGACAAGGACGCGGCCGCGGCGGCGGCAACAGCGGTTTCTGTTTGCGTTTGCGTTTTGTCAGCCATGACAGCGTCGGCAATTGCGCCACCTGCGGCTCCATATTGACACTTGTGTGTGCGTATGTGTGTGTGTGTGTCTCAACACAGAGAAAAAAAGTGGCCAAAGCAGAAACCATATTATATAATATGAAATCCAGAAACCAAGACTTCAAAAAAATATAAAAATAAATAAATATCACACAAGCTTTAAATATTTGAAGTTAAATTAAAATTTAAAATTTTTTTCCCAGTGTACTGTCTCTGTGTGTGTGTGTGCTCCCTTGTTTGTTTATGAGCCCCTAATCAAATTGCCCATAATTAGATGCAACAAAGTTGAATCTTTTTGAAGCGTTTTTCGGACGATTTCTTGCCTCCACTTCCCACCTTGGGTGTTTCCCCTTGTTTTCCATAGGGTTTTCACGCCACCATTTTAAGCATTTCCAGCATTTCCACCATTTGCCACATCCTGTCGTGCCGGAATCGTCAGCATACCAGAAACGCACGAACGGATACGCCACGTTAGCTGTTCGCAATGCGTTCGGAATTTGCCAAGAACACCAAAAAAAAAAAAAAGAAAAAGGGCTCGGCTTTGGAGAATCGGAGAATCAGAGAATCTATTTATCCCTTTAAAAGGAAGGTACAAGGAGAAAACTAGCAGGAAGTGGGAATGAAAATGAGAAAGAGTAGGGGGAAAGTTGAGGAGTTTTGCTTTTAGAATATGAAAATGAGAATTAAATTTGAATTTAGGTCACAAAAAAGCCTTGCATTTTATTTAAGAATTTTGTAGTATTTTATTATTTACTATTTAATTGTTTTTTTTTAATAATTATTAATGATCTTATTGTCTTGTTCGTTTTCTTTGGAATATATTTTAGGTATATGTTTTTAATGGTGAATAAAATTTTTAATGCTTTTGGTAGTGTTGTAAAGGGCTTTTATTTCTTTAAATATTAAGATTGGCTGATGTCGAGTCAATTTTCTTATTTACTTGATTTAGAATTTTGTCTCATTTTTTTAACCAATAACGTGTTGTTGTATAATTAAAAAATTAAAAATAGTCTTTTCGGCTGTTTAAGTATTTAGTGTTGTTAAGGACATTTTTCAAAATTTTTTTATTACTTGTTAATAATTTTGATACTTTTCTAAACTATGACTCATAATTTGTTTAATATTTGAAAATTAAAAATAGTGTTTTCTGCTACTGCTGTATTTTATAAATATTTTAAATATATTTGGTAGTGTTGTAAAAAAAATGTCAGGACACACAAAAACTGTTGAGTGGAATGTTATGCTTGAAAGACTTTCTAAACTAAATCTTAAAAAAATATAGTTTTGTTCTTGGTTTCTGTTTGAAACTTCAAATATTTAAATCCCAATCCCTTAAAGACCGTTTTCCTAGTCCAGATTCCAAGTCCTAGTCCGAGTTCCTTGCCACCTCCTCGTGCCACGCGTAATGATGATGCCACCACAGTCATGTTGCTGCCCTTTGTCTTAGCCGGCGCATTGTGGAAGTTGCACACACGAGTTGCTGCCGACGGACAAACAAAAGAGACAGATAAACTGATTGACAGATGAACAGGGCGAGCGAGATGGCGACACTGCACTTAATGGGGTGGATCTCAAGGGAGGGTGGGGGCTGAAATAGTGAGAAGGGGGCGGGGCTGTTTGACATTTGCTGTCATTGTCACAACGTCGGCGACAGTTGCTGATGTTGCAGTGGTGCTGCTGCTGCTGCTGTTGTAGTAGTTGCTGCTGCTACTTCAGTTGACCCACCAACCGACCGACCGACCGACCACCTGCCCTTGCTTTTGTGCAATTGCTCGTTGTTTGGGTACACTGGAAAAAATATTCTGAAAACTCAAAATAAATGTATATCTTATTTTTATACTCAGAAGTTTGCAAGAAAGAAAGCTAAAAGAGACATTTAAAAAAAAAAATTATTTAAAATTATGAATATATACTTAAATAAATATTTTTATTTCCAGTATTTTCGGTGTTCATTTTTTTTATTTAATTTTTAGTTTCTAAAAAATTTATATTGCTGATTTTATATTTTTTCCCTTTTTTTTTGTAAGTATATTGTGTAAATGATTTCTCTTTGTGCCAAGAAGCTTCCACCTCTTCCATGTGGGCACTCGGGTTGACCGCCGTTGGGTAACGCCTTTGTCTCTGCGGTTGAGAGCACGGCTGCTTATTGGGGATTGTTGTGGAGTGACCGACCAACCACCTAGCCCACCTATCCACCTGTCTCCACCTGTCAGCCAAGCCTGCTCCCTGCCTTCCAGCTTCCCTTGTTTGCTGCACATTCCAATCGATTGTCACAACAAACAAACAAACAGCAGTAGCAGCAGCAGCAGCAGCAGCAGCAGCAGCAGCAAGTAGTAAAAGTATTTCATAAAATATTTACATTGTTGTGCTCCTGCTCCTTCTGCCAATACATTTATCCATTTGTTTATTTGCTGAACCTGCTCTGGTGTCTCCTTGATTGATTTTGTATTAATTAAGGCCAAGAGTTGGTGTTTTTCTTTGATTTCAATGAAGAAGTAATTGTCTTGGATCCCTTGGAAAATAATAAAACATAACAAATTTGTAATATAAATATTTATTAACAGTATTTTTAAGAAATATAAACCTATATTATTATTAATTCAAGGTATATACTATTATAGCAAGAGACTCATGGAAATTTTCCCTTTTCCATTATTTTCCATTGCAGATTTGCCAGCGCCAAAACGGAAGCGGAAGTGACGCTGCTGTGAGAGCCTAGGCAGGCAGGAACAAGTCGGGACAGGCGGACAAACGGTTGAATAATGCAAATTAAAACACAATAAAATGTAAAACACACACCAAGGCGCCAACTGGAGCAAAAAAGCAACAAAAAAAAAAAAGTAGGCGAAGCGGTTAACATGCCCCAAAAAAAAGAAAAAAAAATGAAAAGGGAAGGAAAACAATGCGCGTGGCGACAACTTTTCCACTGAATTTGATTTGATTTGAGCGGCCAGACACGGAATATAAGTATACGCTGCGTATGCCCTATACATACATATATACATGCATATATATATAGAAGATATATATATATATATATATCAGAGAGACTGACTGAGTTGGAAAAAATTTGCATAACTTTGCTGGCGTGGCATAAACATCAAAAACAAATTGCAAGTAACAAAAGGAAACGGTCATAAAAAGGCGCCAGCCTCGTAAAAAATACAAAATACAACAACAACAATACACACACACACTCCTCTCTATACACCTCTCCTCTCGCTCTGTCTCTCTGTCTCTGTCTCAGTCTCTCCTGCGTTGGTGAAATTAATTTATGCAGCGAATCAAATACAAATAGAAAAAAGATATATAAAACAATTAAGGACAAAGCTGAAAAAGATCCTGAGAAGTTTAGGAAATCTACTTGAAGACGGGCCTCTGGGGCATCCCTGCTTCGCCTAAAGAGAGAGAGAGAGAGACAGATAGAGATAGAGTTGGAATAAAGACAAGACTCAGGATAGCCGGGTTAGCCAGGGTTGCCTATAAATGTACCAAGACAGCGGCTGCAACAGCAGTAGCAGTCGACGCGGCAGCAGCAGTGCAGCATCTACAGCAGCAGCAACTGCAGCAGCAACTGCAGCAGAAGCAACTCCAACAGCAATTCCAACAGCAACTCCAACAGCAACTACAACAGCTACTGGCACTAGCAGCAGTGACGAGGACACCCTAGAGACCTTAACGATCATAACCACCACCATAACCGAGACCGAAATCCATGCGGCTGCCACCACAGCAACCACCACGACCACAACGGTTATAGCCGGCGGCGGAGGAGGTGGAACAGCCAGCACAGTGACCACAGGAGCAGCAGCAGCAGCAGCAGCAGCAGCAACAGGTAGTGGAGGCACAGCAGTAGAAGCAGTAGCAGCAACAGCTTTGCTACTTGCCACCACCACCACCACCAGCGACGACATCGAGGACAGCAGTCCGGTGGAGAGTGAGGATAGTGAGGAGTGCGAGTACGTGGAGATACAGGAGGGTTCTTCCCTAAGCAGCAGCACCAGTGGCCATGCGGCACTGCAACGCAGTGGCCACCAAGAACAACAACTCCAACAACACCAACACCAACAAGTGCAACTCCAATTGCAGCAGGCGGATGTGCGACTTTTACGCAAAATCGGTTATATTGCATCCCGGGTGCGTTATTTATCCAAATTTTATGGTGACTTTCGTCTGGTGAATCCATACAGTGCCAGAAGGCAGCGGCGGCAGCTGCAGGAGATCCTTTTGCGTCACTCGATCTTTGATCCGGGCAAAGAGCATCAGAGGGCCATTGTTTTGGCAGCGGCCACGGCGGCCATAGCAGGGCCCCTGGCAGCTCTAGCAGCGGGAGCAGGAGCAGCAACAGGAACAGCAGATTGTGCCAGCAGCAGTAGCAACAACAGCATAGAGGCGGTGAGCAGCAGTGAGCTGGAAGAGCAAGATCAAGAACAAGAACAAGAGCATTTACCTGACAAAAGCCCTGAAGATCAGGATCAGGAGCAGGAAGAAGAGGAGGAGCAACAGCTAGAGGAGGCAGAGCAACAACAGCAACAGGCACCCGTTATTGCTGTGACCACCACATCGACCACCGTGCGACATAAATCCTCAAGCAGCTCCACCATAAGCGGCACGGCCACAGTTTCCGGTTCCGTTTCGGTTTCGGCCAGCGCCTCGCAATCATTTTGCACCAACTCGCCCATAGCACTGCTAGAGGAGTTGCTTATACAGTTTTACGAAGAGCAAGAGCAGCAGCATCGCATCAGGCAGCAGCAGCAGCAGCAGCAGCAAGTGCCACCTAGTTGCAGCCTACAGCTGACAGCCAGCACCACCACCAACAATAACAACAATTTCAAAAATAATATCAACAACAACAACTGCAACAGCATACAGAACAACAACAACATGTCCACATCCATGTCGAATATGACCAGCAGTGTGGCCACCAGCGATCCGCAGCCAACAGCAGTCACACCCATAGCATCCAGCTCTGGTTCTGGGTCCGTTTCCGGCATAGCCTCAACCCAGCCCCAGCCAAGTATCAATAATCCAAGTAGCAACCAGCAGCAACAGCAACAGCAACACCAACAACATTCGCTGCAACACTTGGCATTGACAGCCCCCGATGCCGGGGATAATCCACGCCGACGGCGGGCCAGTGACTGCTCTGCGGTTCAGGCAGCCCTCCAGAATCAGCTTCACTGCATCACGCTAAAGAACAACAATTGTGCCGCCGGTAAGGTAATGCCGCCCTTCCATCGCGGCAGCTGTGGGGCAGCCGGAGAGCATCTTTTGGCCGCCAATTCGATAGCCAACAGGGCCACCATCATATTGAGCAAATCCTGCAGCAATGTGGATGGAGATGTGAGTGGATTGGGTGGAGGAGGAGTAGGAGGAGTCGGAACTGGTCACAATAAGCTGAGGGCCAGTGCCACCGATATCGAGTCGAATGCTCTGAATGGTGCCAGAGATGCCATGGCCATGGCAGCTGCCTCGAATAATGGTAATGGTAACGGGAATGGCAACGGTAATGGCAACGGGAATGGGAACAATGGCAACAACGAGTACAGCATCCTGCAGCTGAACAACACGATCATTCAGTGCCACTTCAACGACGACGACTTTCGCGCTTTGGTCAAGGATCTCAAGCGCAAGGTCGAGTACACGGAGCGCATGAATTGGTTATGTGAGTAGAATTTTGAGTATATATTTCAACTATTTTATGGCTATATAGAAATCTATTTACATCTTGATCTAAATTAGTTTTGGGAGTGATCTAAACATTTGAATCTATAATTATTGGTAGAATTTCCTTTTAGCAAGGTAAATAAAATCGTAACGTTACCTTTTTTAAATCATCTAAAAATTTCGATACAAGTTTAATCAAACTTTTTAAACCTTTAAATACAATTATAACCAAGAAACTACCTTTTCGAGTGATCTAAAAATGTAAATTCGTACTTTTAAAGGGATCTCAATTTAAGAAATATTATAACCGTTATATTAAATGGTCTAAAACAGCCTTTTTGACAAATTTTATTGTCATGGAAGAGATTTTAACCGATAAATTATTCTATTTAATGATCTAAAAGTGGGTTTTATAATTATAACCATAATTAAATTACTAAAACGCGATTATAACTGGGAACCTATAATAAAGAGTGATCTAAAAACTACTCTCCCAAGTGATCTAAAAATTGGGATATATACTTGTATTCAGTTTTTAATTTCATAAATATAAAAAATATAATTCTCAAGGGTCTTTAAAAGTTAGATATAACTCTTTTGACAGATTGTTATCTTACAATTACGATTGTAACCAAGAAATCACTGTTTTAAATGATCTAAAAGTTGAGATACTTACCTACAACCATAATTAAATTTCAAAAGACATTATATTATATCAATATATATAGAGATATATATATATATTTTGGGAAATATAATCCATAAAAAAACCCTTACCCTTAACCTGGTAACTTTGAAACTGATTAAAGCTGCCAGCTTTAGTTTGAATTTGGAGTTCTTTTCCTCTTGTTTTTCTGGCCCAAGTAATTCGCTGTTTAGTTAACTAATTCGATTACATTCCGCCTAATTCGCTTAACGTGGTAGCATTGCCGCGAAAACTGCCATGCGGCAATTACTCACTCTCCGGGAGATATTATTCCCGGCACTTATTTGACCGAAATAATTGATGGAACCCCCTGGAACCCCCAGGAAAACCCAATTAAACCCCCCCTAAAACCCCCTGAATCCACTCTCCCAACAAATGGGCCAAATGGTCAAGTGCTTTCACATTTGACGTTGGCTTTTCCAACCCCATTATTTTGCCGTACTTTTCCGACTTTCCCTGTGTAATCGCCTCAAATGAGGCATGAGCGAATGCAACAATGGGATGGAATCAAATGGACAAATTTAAATGCAGCTACAATGGAATGGAAAAATCATTTCAAAACGCTGCACAAATGGAGGGAGTGGGTTTTCCACCCACCCACCCCCGCCCCTTCGTCCGGGAAAAAAAAACTGTATCCAAGCGGAGGGGGCGTTGTGAAATATTTAATTCAATGGTGGCAGAAAGCAGTTTTCAGTTTTCCATTTACCATTTTCTGTTTTTTATATATATACCTATATTATATATATATATATATATTGTAGTTCATTTTGTATATTTTCCATTTCGCAGCCAAATAAATGCTGCAAATGAATATCTTATGAATGCAACTGGATTAGAATTTGATTGGTTTCAGCCTCTGTCTCTCTTACTTGTAATAATCTGGCCTAAACAAATATGAGATATATATATATACATGTATATAATACGGTATATATATATTTATATATATATTCACCAAGTGGCAAGGACACAGATACCTTGGCACAAGCCTCTTCTACTGTAATATTCCTTACTTTCCATGTCTCTTTTCGCTTGCGATTGCTTCAACGCCTTTGGCCCTTTTTTTACGGCAATAAATACGCCCTTTATGTGTACCGTGTGTCCTGCGAAATACAATAAAAAAAAAAAAAATCGACAAGTACTTCTGCACTGAGAGAAATGAGATATTCTAGATTTCTTGAAAATATTTTCAAGAACAAACTCGAGTTCAGCCTTTCTCTGCGCTTCTCAAAATTTGTATTTCTTCTCTTCTTAAATTCTTAAATTTCTTAATTATTTTTACCTAAAGATGTATATATATATATATATATTTTTTAATAATAAATATATTTAAGTAATATTTCTTCGTCTTCTTATGGAAATATTTCTGTTAGAGCCTTTCTCTGCGCTTCACAAAGAGCTTTCTTAGAGCCTTTCTCTGCGCTTCTCAAATTATTTACTTAGAGCCTGCGCTTCTCAATTTTTTAATGTACTTACCTTCTCGCCGGTTTTTTAAAAATTATAAAAATATATTTTTTTAATATTTTATACATTATAAAACCTATATTTTTCTGGCTGTGCACAGCAACTATCACAACTTTGTTGAATGGCATTAAAACAATAAAAAAAAGCAAAAGAAAACGTTGTCTTTTGTATGGACGTCGCGTTTTCCTTCGCCTTTTATTTCGCTTCTCTTCGCTTCGGTTCGGTTCTGTTCTGGAGGGCTTCTTGCATTTTGCCTTTTTTAATATATATTCTTTCTTTTTTTTTTATCCCGGCTCTGTGTTTGGCTTTTGTCCTTGCTTGCAGTTGTTGGCTTAGCACATATACGCAGGTTTTCCCAGCCGTCTCCTGGCATTTTTCCACGCTGTCGCATTTTAAACATTTCAATTAAATTCGAACTGGGCGAACAGCGGTCTTTTGCCACAATGTGTGTGTGTGTGTGTGCACACACGCCTGTTGATTGCCTTCCGTTCAATTGGTTGCTAGGATTTTTCTCCCCAGCATTTTTTATCATTGTCCTTTTTTTAAAGGATTTTTTTTACGGAATTTTTTTCAGATTTTGTACAGATTTTTGATAGATTTTTTTATAGGTTTTTTTGCAGAATTTTTACAGAATTTTCTTTAATCTTTGCTTCGCTTCAGCTAACTTTTCTTCTTTTTTGGGAAACAAAAATTCTTTAAAAATATCATATAAATTTCTTTTAATTAATTAAAGAATAAAAATTAGTTTTAAAAATTATTTAAATTAAATTTAAGGGATGACTAGTTTAAAAAAAAACAAAATTTTTAAATATTTAGTAAATTTTGTAATTAGAGCAAGTACAAACACGATTACAGCCTTTCTCTGCGCTTCTCATAATGTTTACTTAGAGCCTTTCTCTGCGCTTCTCAAATTATTTACTTAGAACACCATTTTAAAGCTAGATAGATGTTGTCTAGTGTAAATTGGCTTTAACAGATTGTAAATCAAACCAAGGAATCACTTTGAAAGAAAAGAAATGTCGCCAAAAAAAAAAAAAAAAAAAAAAGTGGCCAAGAAACATAAATTGCCCGAAAGCATTTTGTGAAGAAGCCACAAAACGCAAAATGGTCATAAATTCAAAAACCTAAATGGCTTTGGCAATACCGGAATCAAAAGCCTCGACCGCACGACACACACACACAGACACACACAAAACACAACAAAAGGGAAGAAACCGGGAAGAGAAAGGCCACAAGAAAGGGCAAGTGGATGAAAGAGGAGGAGGAGGTGCAGAAGAAAGCGCCAAACATAATACAAATGACATATAACAAGAGTCGGGAAATATGTCGGAAATCTACTTGAGACAGTCGCCGAAAAAAAAGCCAAGCCAAGCTGAACGGCCAAAAGCCATGTCAGACAGAGACAGAGAGAAAAAGAGAGAAAAAGAGAGAGGGAGAGCGGCTCGAAAGGCACTTAAGGCCAAGGAGTTGGGATAAGGGAAAGTTCTTCTTTCTTCTTCTTTTTCTGTCCAGAGACAGAATGGGAACCGCAAAGGACGAAGGAGATGTGACAAAAGGAAAATGGTAAATGGAAGGAGGGGGGGAGGGGAGGGGTTCACAAGCAGGCAGCAAAAATCTAATAATAATAAAATACTTTATTGTTCAGTTAACAATTCAATTGTTTCACTCAACAAGAGCCAAACGACAGAGAGCGACAGATTCAACTTGAAAGAGGCACTGTGAGAAAAGTTGTTGAATTTCATGAATATTACGAATTTTATAAATTTTCATAAAATTTAAGAATTTTATGAGTTATATGAATTTTATGAATTTTTATAAAATTAAGAATTTTATGAGTTTTATGAATTTTTTTAACTTTATGAATTTATGGAATTTTATGAATTTTTGGAATTTTATGAATTTTTATGAATTGTATGAATTTTGTAAAATTCATAAATTTTATAAATTTGATGAATTTTTATGAAATTTAAACATTTTATAAACTTTATGATATTTATGAATTTTTATGAATTTTATAAATTTTGTGAATTTTATGAATATTATAAATATTAATAATTTTATGAATTTTATGAGTTTTTATGAATTTTATAAATTTTATGAATATTATAAATTTTTTTTAATTTTTATGAGGTTAATAAATTTTATGAAATTTATAAATATTATGAATTTTACAAGGTTTTTTTTACAGTGTCTTGTTGAAACGAACATTAAGTGATAAAGTGTTTGTGCAAATCAAAACGATTGACTGACTGTCTGACTGATTGAATGAATGAATGAATGAATGACGTCCAAAAGACATTTTAGGTTTTCGAAATCGAATCAAAATTTAGCCAACTTTTTGGCTAAATCAATCGATGATGTCTTGTTAGTTGATGGACGCACTGCATCATCATCATCATCATCATCATCCTCATCATCATCATAATTACCATAATCATCATTCATCATCCTCATCATCATCTCTATGGTCTCCTCTGCTGCACTTGACATTTTAAATGTCAAAAGTTTTCCATTTCATTCTCAAAAGTGAGTGAAAAATATTTGCCTAACAAAAGCTGGAATTTAATTCATTTCTATTTTACCTTTCTGACTTTTTCTATATATATAAATATATACATATATATCACATATATTTATATAAATACTTGCCATATATATCTGTCTTGCTAATGAGGCGAGGTCGTGTCCTAATTGAAATTTTCTGCACATTTTTTGAATCCAAAAAAGTTATATTTTTTTTTTTTTTTTGGTTGATTTTTGCTCCTTCGTGTTTCCATTAATTATAATAACTCACTTGTCGCCAAGTGGCTAAGGAGGAAGCGTTGGGA